CACCAACTCATCAGCACAATGGATGGCACATTTTTGCAGCTTAAAAAAACCTGATATTTTGGATGGTGGACATTGAACACATGATGGATCCATCCCTTTTTTCACAATGGATGACTGATGAAAAATCTGGGAATTGTTTGCAGGAGAGGGGCTGCAGAACTCGTTCGGAACATTGGCGCTTTTTGAAGCTGCACAAGTTTCCTTGCAGAACTATTTCATGTGGGATTCTCGCAATCTTCTGGGAGTCCATCCCATACGCCATCTCATGGATCCAGATGACTAGTTTTCTTTAAAACTCATGATATAATCGATGGGAGATCTTCAGGATCCAATACATGGAGGTACGTTAGTACCATATGTTTGGCCAAATTTTGAGGGGATATTCCCTGAAATTTTGCCCTGAAAAATAGGCCTTATATATGGTAGGTACCCTCCAATCTAGGATCCTGAAATGGCCATTGATATAAATCCATATTCTATACGTTTGTCCTCATTACATATGGTTGAAAAAAATATTCTCATTCCCCTCTATCATTAAGATCCCACCAAAAAAAAAACACTTTGTTGATGAAACCCTTTGTAGACATCATCATCTCCCTATGTCTGGTGAAATCCCCAAAAATCATGAGGACATTTGCACAACACCCCCCCAAAAAATTAAGGGTTGAACCATTAAACCCTAAATTTTTCCCCTTTATTCATGAATATTCCAGTAATATCATACTCTGTTTTAGTGGTATACTATCTCAGTATGAATGGGATAGTGGTAATATCATACTATTCCAGTAATCAAGGGTTGAACCATTAAACCCTAAATTTACCATTCATATCCTATTCATACTCTGTTTTAGTGGGTTAGTAAGCCCTTGGTCGGTTTTCATCCCCATTGGCCAGGTGTGTTGCCTCCGGTGCTGTGCGCGCCCTTCGATGACCCCGAGGACTATGATGACATCGCCAATGGCGTGCCGATCTTGCACGGCTTGAGGAGGGGATGGAGGGCTGCGATGATTTTTCCGGGCCCCCAAGGGCCCCCAAGTTCGGGAGAATTCCGTGGTTTATGGATGTTGAATATGTTGATGGTCGATATATATTGCGGTAGTTATATAAAGGGCTTTGTAAACCAACTAAAGGGGATCACCAGCACCTAAAGTCCAGGGCTTCATCTCATAATGTTCCCTTTTTAAAATGGCCATGTTTACAATGTGAGGCCCCCCAGTTATAAGTTGGTTTATAAGCCCCAGTAACTATAGTTATAAGTACCATAAACTTATTGGAGTTATAAACCAACTTAGCTATCTTGGGGGCCTCACATTGTAGGGTATACGCCATTTTCAGACAAAGCGTTGGTGTGGAACGGCCGGACCTGGAGGATCAACACATTCCAAAATCGCTTTTCTTTATGAACTGCCTCTGGTAAAAATATATCCACATTGATTCCCATGCTTGTGCTCCAAAAAAATTGTTCGCGTTGGGAAAGCACCACCATTTTTTTATGTTTCGTAAACATCATATGATCCCACGCTCTTGATTGATGAAACGGGTGCAACATTTCCCTCATCAACGACGCACACATTTCGCACAGACACGCAGGAACCGCGAATATGGCAGTGGCATGTGCCCAGCCCAGTGGCAGGGGATGTTGGGACGAGGGATGGTTCCCCAAAGCGCATTCAGTTGGCGCAAATAAGTCCAATGCTCCAGGGTTGATATTTTGTTAATGATGGTTAATGGGATCATAATGGGATATACCAATGATACTGGTTAATGATGGCTAATGGTTAATAATCACTGGTTGGTGGTTTGGAACATGATTTTTATTTTTCCATTCAGTTGGGAATGTCATAATCCCAACTGACGAACTCCATCATTTTTCAGAGGGGTAGGGCTCAACCACCAACCAGAATGACTTATTTAGGCGTCATGGGGGTTAGATCGAACTAATTAATGGGGATTTTAAGGCGACTTAAATTTGGGGTAGGACCCTCTGGGGGTTTCTTTACCAAAGTCAGGGACAGTCTTCATCCAGATTGTTGGTCATTTTTTGATGAGGAAACCAATGATGATCAAAGGGGTGCCCCAACCTTTTTAGAAACGCCCACCTTGAATGTGCTCCAACCTTGGGACATATATGACATACACATCTGGAGTTTGGGTATCCCTAGGTTTGCTAGTTCCAAACATGCTTGGAACTGGGTAGGCTCAACATTGGATGGTAGTTGACATACTGTAGATCTTCCTGATTTCTACCATAAAACTCAAGGTTTTGCTTTGACCCAGCCTTATTCCCGTTAGCGGACTGGGATTCATCTGGCTATTCCAAATGGGTGAGTTCGCCCCTGGTTTGAATTTGATCCGCATAAATATGTGCACTATAAGTCGTCACCCATGTCCGGAGGTTTTTTTTCCATGGTTTGCAGCCTGGTTTCCGTATGCTTTCCGTATGCTTTCCGTATGCTTTCCCATCTTGTCGACCAAATCTTGGGGTCCAAGGCTGGCGGTCTATTGCAAGTTGCCCACGGGCGTCGGGCGGCCCGATCGGCGCCGGCTGGGAAAAGGGGATGTCAATGGTGAAGCTGAATCCCCGTAGGGTCACCAATCATTGCTGGAATTTCAGCAAAAAACATCAAAAAACCATGGGCTGATGAAGGATTCAATGATTTTTTTCAGGATTTGTCAATTTGTCAGATGTTTTTGATATGTTTTGATGCGTTTTGATCTGTTTTCTATGGCACTTCATAGGTGTCGACTCCCCTCGGACTCCCCTCCCCCAAACGTTGCTGGCCGGCGCAGGCTCGAGGAGGTGCGGGTGAGCCACGCCCCTGGGAGTTCACGGAAACCTTGATGCAACCGAAGCTGCGACAGAGGAGACCCTGGGACCCTTGGGACCCTTGGGATGGTGGAGGGGATGGTGATATGTTACAACATGTTACCCTCTGGTTATGTCAAAATAGCTATTGAAAATGATAGTTGATTTACCCATTGAAAATGGTGATTTTCCAAAGTTATGTAAACGTTTACCAGAGGGTACAACATGTTTTGTGACCTCCCTCTGGTTGTTGGATTTTCAGTGGGGCCACTTGGGATGCAGGGGACCTAAACAGCATTTTTTGCATGGGGGTTCCCCTCCAGCCACAAACGATTGAATTTTGAAGTTTGAAAACATGAAGAATTCTGAATAAACCAAACCTATACCCTCTGGTAAACTAACATAACTTTGGAAAATCACCATTTTCAATGGGTAAATCCACTATTTCAATGGTCATTTTCAATAGCTATGTTAGTTTACCAGAGGGTATAAGTTTGACCATAATAGTGTTGATAATACCTGGAGAAAGTGAGTTTTTATGGTGCTCACCGCATTCCAGCTGGGATTGTAGCACCACTGAATGATCTGTTACTACTCGGGATTATCCTCCAAGTAGGACTGTCAGCAAACTTTGTGAGAAGAAGCATCCGAGTAATAAGTTCCAAATTACGGTTAGTTCACCCAATATAATTACATAATATATATATATATACACAATCAAAATATATAATACCGATAGATACAGATACCCTGGGCTTCCAAAGACTAAACTTTGTATGGTTTTACTATGAAATGCTGTAGACCATGTAAGCTGGACACTGTGAAAAAATCCCCAGCGATTCATAGCTTCTTCTCCAGTTACCCATGGGTCCCAGGAGCAGAGACCTCTGGAGAACCCCCAGCATCTTCGCCAACAACGGCGAACGCGGCTTCGCGGTGCCCAAGCAGGCGACGGGGGCGAAAAATGTGACGCCAGCCCATTTGTTTGGGGGAAACGTGGCAAAATTCTGGGATAACATGACCAAAAGCCTTCATCATATGACTATGAACTATGATTGAGGCTGGTTACTATATTGTCTAGTTTTTTTTTTCATTTTCATTGTTCGGCTTCCATCCCGATCGTTGCAATATACTGTAGATCAACCCCGCCTGTAGCCGGCAGGCACCACAATTGAACGAGTGAGTTGGCCTGCGAGCAACTGGGGTGTAGCAGAGCTTAAACGATTAAGAACTGATACGGGGCTTTCCTAAAATGGAGGTACCCCAAGTCACCATGGGTTTCCTAAAATAGTCTAATGACTTGGATGATTGGGGTAGCCCCTATCTTAGGAAACCCCCATATTCGTGTAAAGCAATGACAAATAATTGCAATACTTTTAGAATGTTGACAATGCATGACAATGATACTTAGCCACAGTCGGACAAGGGTTCACCTGATTCCAGAACTTGACACCTCGGTTTCAATCACTTCCACTGACTACCCTGGATAGTGAAGACTGTAAATTCTATACCTGACCGTGTAGGATGATGAGCTGATTTCCATCGCATATTTTTCTGCAGAGTTTCACCCCGCGAGTTTTGTGGCATTGGTGGATTGGAAGACGCTTCCAGCGGAAAAGACCGGACGCGGACGGGTGATCACCATGGCCTTGATCCATATAGCAATCTGATTTAGAGAAGATGGTAAGATGGTGGGACAGCTGACATCAAAGTTATCCAAAGACGATTTGGGTCGTTGGGATCTCAAAAGGTGCCTTGGTGCCTTGATTGATTTATCCTCATCCCATTTAGCCATCAGGACCAATCATCACTGAGTGGCGGGAAAAGCCGTTGAAGATGGCTTAGATGGCCTGGTCCATGTGCCCGAGTTTTCGGCAGGGAATGTCCAGTGGGCAACTTGATCACCCCAAACAACACTCTGGAGGTTTCCGAAGTCATGGGGGCCTCATCCATTTATAGCTAAGATTTTCCATGATTTTCATTGATTTTCCCGTTAGATTTTTTTTAATAAAATTCTAAACCATCCATTGTGGGATACTATATGATACTATCGATTATCATGTTATCATATTATCATATTATGCTATATCACCATATTATCATGTTATCATATTATTCACCAACCATTTTCGGAAACCCCAAAAAAGATCCCTCCCAACGTGTTGCGTCCGTCGTAACCACTTGGGACTGACAGGGCCATCGAGCTGTACCTTCGTGGTGGCATGGCCGCCAAGGCTCGAGTCCGTCGGCCGAGTGTCGGATGCGAAGCTGGCTTTTCAAATGGGTTTATAGTGGAAGAAAACTGCTTATCAGGTTATAAATGGTGTATATAAATATATAGGAATAGTAATTGCTAATGGTAAATAGTGGTAAATAGTGGTAAATAGTGGTAAATAGTGGTGAATAGTGGTAAATAGTGGTTAATAGTGGTCTTTGTAGTGGTTCATAGTGGTTTATAGTGGTTAATCATCCCCCTAATATTAAACACCTCCATGGTTGATGGTCCCGTGTCAATCCCCCTACGAAATCAGGGTTTCTTGGGGATGTTTGGTATTAGGGGAAGGGGAGTAGCACCCTAAATTGAACAACATCCAAATGGAGGTTGATTTTTGTTTCAAGGCATCAAACTGTTTTTTTAGCATGTGTTTGAGATGGTTTTTGATGGAAGGGCAAGTTCCAAAATTTGCGGAAGTCGCTCTGTCCAAGATCCTCTATTTCAGCGAAACAAAAGCCAAAATTCGAGCCTAAAAGCCAGTTGGGTGCAGGAACTCTCTCAAAACACTTTGTTTCAGTGGAAAGGCCGAGGTGGTCGACCATGGTCGACCCGGTTTCACCCATTTTTCTGCTTCAGCCGGTGAACAATGGAGGCTGCGTCAGTGGTGCAGAGGCACAATGCCAACTACTCGCAGGCATGGTCGGCTTGACCCAAGGGGTGAAAAGGGGTTAATCTTTTTGCTAGGCATTGGGGTACATGATATAATATCTGGTTGGTGGTTTGGAACATTTTTTATTTTCCCATATATTGGGAACAATAATCCCAACTGACTAATATTTTTCAAGATGGTTAAAACCACCAACCAGATATAGTCTGTTATATACTATATAATGTTATATACTGTACTATATAATATGTCTATACTATATAGTCTGTTATATGCTATGATATGATATTATAGAATACAATATGATGGAATCTAATCTGACACAATATACTGTACTACACAAAACTACAATATACAATGACATTGATATTCATATTCATACTACTTGTGATCAGGGAAAAACCAAGTCTTGTGCCAAATATCTCCAGGGTTACGTTGTCCATTCATTTATTGCTGGAGAAATCATTCAAACATATTAGCAGCGATCATCAATGCACCTTGCGCCTATATTTGCCTAACATAGTGGCTGGTTGAATGTTTCAATCGTCCATCCTCCAACAGATGATGATGCAACCTGGTTGGTTTTCATGCTTGCGGCAAATTGAAACCGCTGACCGTGATTTTCCCGTGAAAAGAGGGGTACAAAATCATCCTTGATTCCTTGATGTTTCCTGCCATTTTTAAAGATGGCAGGAAACATGTTCAGACAATGAGAAAATTTGAGGCCTGTAAAAACCATTGTTGAGCCACATAATTCAACCGCTATCAACCACCATAAACTCACTATCATCAGAATTTAACAACTATTGACTATTAACCACTAGAAAACCCACCATTGGCTCGGATAGGAGCTGTTGCAGAAGATCGTGGCAGGGCTTCAGGACGGTTTTCGGACTTTTGGATGGTTTAAAAAGTGTTTTTTTTATAATGTGTGAAAAACAATAAACCACCCATTTGGGAATGGTTTACACAACCTTTTTATGGTGATTTGGAGGATGGTTTATTATTGTTTTACCAACATTTACTGGAAAACCATGGGAAATTAATGGGATTTAATGGTGATTTAATAGGATTTCATGAGATTCTAATGGGAAATTAATGGGATTTAAATGGGATGCTAAAGCCGCATAAAGATAGAACATGGTGATTTTTAACGTATGTAAGACAGACTGTTGCTGGATATGATGGGATGTAGTGGACCGTTAGTGGGCAAGTAACTTACGACGGGATTATAGTCACACAATTAGATTTTTAGTGTTTGTGATATTGGATGGATGTACCACATACTGTAACTCCCAGAAGAAGTTCAACGTGTAGCAGGAGATCAGCAATTGACCTTGATAGGTAGTGAATCACTCTAGTTCAGCCAGATGTAAGATTCATAAGTTACAGGAGGCTTATTGATATGATGAATCAATCCTAGTGAGCTAAGTTTCTTTGCTGGATTTTCACTTAGGTGTCCCAGTTTGTGCCTCAGTGTTGCACTTGAGGTTGGGTATGTCGTCTCCCCATCTGCATGGTTTTGTGTAGAGATGGATGATGGACACAGCACCCTAGGTCTGATTTGATGAGTCAAAGGCAGATGGCAAATTTCATCCCAGGTCCCTTGGATAGGTAAAAACCAATCCTTTGGCTTTTTTTGTGGACAACCAAAGATTGACCATGATTTGATGTGATTATTTGTAGGTGTCATAGTTTCAAACAGAAAAAAAAACCCATAAACCCAACCACTAGGTGTGCTTGACGCCTGAGATGGATGTCAATCGCTTATATTTTTTTTTCTTGAAGCAACTTCAGATTTACCCTTCAGTAAAAAACCCACAGAGATGTGGGTTTAACCCTCCAAGAGGGTTTTTCCCCATGGCTTCTCTCTACATTTTTTCATATCCCCTACTTGGGGATGCATCCCACTGGGTGAGAGATCTCCAGTTGTATATGGAATATCCCACTTATATTGGATAATAAGGCTTGCATATGGATTACCCTCTGGTAATTTAACAGTTCGCTATTGAAAATGGCCATAGAAATAGTGAGTTTTCCCATTAATAGCATGGTGGATCTTTCCATAGTTATGTAAACGTTTACCAGAGGGTAGGAAATTCCAACGAACCACGGATCCGTTGTTCGTTGGGGTTTCCATCCCCCCCTAGGGGCCCTAGGCTCCGGTTTCCATCTCGGCCATCGGTGGAGGCCAGTGGCATGCACGACCGCGCGGGTGCCTTGTACGAGCGCATGGGGCTCATTCAGCCTGCCATGGACGCCTATCGTCGGGGCCATGCCTACCGGCAGGCCGGAAGTTGGGGATGAGGAACATGGCAGATGATACACACAGATACCCTCTGGTAAATCTGGTAAACGTCAACATAACTATGGAAAATCAGCATTTTTAATGGGAAAACTCACTATCAATGGCCATTTTCAATAGCTATGTTAAATTACAAGAGGGTACATACTCATAATACTCACATGCTCATACATGATACGGACTGATAGTTACATACTGATCATACACATGACATACTCATACGTATCAATAATATTGTGACTTTTCCGATGATTTTCATTTTCAGGGAGGCTGATCAGATCCACTTGCGACAAGCAAAATGGCACAAGAATTAATCCAGACACCTGGTGCGGGACCCAGGAATCATAAGTGGTCAACAACATTCACAAGCCATTTATCTAACTAGGATAGACCCCATTAATCTAACTGGCAGATTTTATCTTAATGGAAATATATAGTTATCCACATATAACTAATAGTTCGTATTCCCGTTACAAACATGTGTATGTATGTATATATACTGGTTGGTGGTTTGGAACATGTCTTATGTTTCCATATATTGGGAACAATAGTCCCAACTGACGAAATCATATGTTTCAGAGGGGTAGGTCAACCACCAACCAGTAAGTCAGGATAAACCATGAGTACCCTCTGGTAATTTAACATAGCTATTGAAAATGGTCATTTTTAATGGGAAAAATCACTATAAATGGCCATTTTCAATAGCTATGTTAGTTTACCAGAGGGTAAATCATCCCCCCAGTCATCGCCATCAATGGCTTCCATAAATCCCCAGTCATGGTAGGTTTATGACCTCGGCTTTACAGGCGATCGAGCTGGCCAAGCATTCGCAGCCGGGCCTGGTGGTTGGGGCACCCTAAAGCACCCTGGGGCACCCTGGGGTACGGGACGAGACTGGGAGCCTATGACACTGGGGATGGGGTCAAGCCTTTGGAATATGGGTATGGGTCAATACCTATAGATACATTTTTAGTGGGATGAACATCCATTTACCAGCTATTTTGATGTTCACCAGGGGTACAAGGTTTTGACACACTGCCATATCTCTATACATAAAATATTGGGAAGGGTCAACACCTATTAATTTACCATCTGACTGGGGGAAAACATCCATCAACCAGCTATGACGTAGGGAACCGTTTGCCACATATGTTACCCTCTGGTAATTTAACATCGCTGTTGAACATGGCACAGAGAAATAAATGATTTACCTGTACTTACCTACTAAAAAAACTGTTTTCCATAGCTATGTTAAATAACCAGATGGTACACACAAATTACCACACACACACACATATATATATATAATAGTTTTCATATAATCACATACGTAGCAATATTACATACACCATCTATAATATACATATGTACATATATGTATATATATATATACATATTATGTAAGTATATTATATGGGCTTGTCCAACGAATAAATTACACTACAACTCCATGGATTAAAACCAACATTTCCCAGTGAGAATTAACACGAATCGGAGATATACCTCAAGTTTGGACAAGACATGTCATGAACCACAGATAATGAATGCCAACTGATATCAACCCATCGCAGATCCCCAAGCTGATTCCACTTGGAAAATTGATGGGTCTACCTTTGCGTCAGACACTTACTGTAGTATGACATAGCGGGCAATTTTTTGATCTGCCCCGACTTGAAAGGGGGGGGTTGAATCTGGCTTGAATCGCTTTCACCACCGAGGTTTGGTACGTTGCGGAATCATGTTCCACTTGTTTCAAACCTTACTTTTTTCCAAGCCAATCGCCTTTTTTCAGTCACATGTCCCAAATTGCCGCAAGGACTTGTAAGCCGCTTACATGTTGGTGAAACCTTCAAGGTTTTGTCTGATTTTTTCTTTTGATGACATGCCATGGAAAGAATCTCACAGAAATTCCGCTCCTGATGAAATCGTGGATCGAAGGTTGCATTGGAGGAAGAATGGGGCGACTGGTTGGTTTCGCAACGACAGGCCTGGTTTCGAAAGGGATATGATGGGATGATGTCGGTGATCCAACATGGCCGGTGGGAATTTCCCGGACAAATGGAGGTTTGAACTGGAAGAGAGATATATATATTATTATTATTATTATCCATGTATCATATATAGTAGATAATATAATATAAATGGCGGATTTTCATGGATTTTCCGTTGCCATCTTTGATTGCCGGGGGGTACGTCGGGTTTTGCGGGAGCAATTAATTTGTATTTTGGGAACTATTATCACTTGTCCAGATGACGTTTGAACATAATTACAAGTAATAGATCCTACCGCTATAATCTAAGTATCGACAATATAAGGGATTTGGTCACAACTAACGTTTAAAGTTTATATAGATTCATATTACTATATATTCACATATATATAGTATACATATATATATAATATGTATATATATAGTATATATATATAGTATATATTGTATATTGTATCCCATTCTCCTATCTATACATTTGCCCCAGAGTTCGATCTTCCCAAGGTGGATGCTGCCATCAACCACTACATCGAGGCGTGGTTAAAACGGCACGGGCTGTGGGATGGGTGGGATTCAAACCGTCCCAAAATGGTAGATCTATTATGGTAGGTGAAAATATGGCATTGAAGATGGTAGATATGATGGTAGATCTATGATGGTAGATCTATTTCTGGCATTGAGTGAATCCCACATTAGCTTGGAATATGAAGGTATACCCTCCAGTAAATTAACAGTTGGACCCTGAAAATCACCCATTTTTAATGGAAACTAGTCTTCCAACCCCTATCTGGCAGGGTCTATGTTAATTTACCAGAGGGTATAAACCAACTAGATGGGTAGTTCAGATGAGCTTCTCTTGCAATGATGAGTATTATATACTATACCAGCTGGCCAAAAGGAAGCAGGCGGTGTGGACGATTCTGGATGTATCAGTGAAAATGGGTTAGTTAAGAAAGTGTGCTATCAATGGGGGAATATTTGTGATCAGCCACGGTAAAGCATAAATTTACACCATGAGTTCGAAGATGAATCGCGGAAAAACATGTCTATTTTCTATAGTTATTCAATGTAATATAATATAATATGGATAATGTAGGATAATGTAATGGATAATGCAATGGATAATGTAATGGATAATGTAATGGATAATGTAATGGATAATGTAATGGATAATGCAGTAATTATTGCACTGATTTGGTGCTGATTCAAGAGACCTTCTTTTGGGGCCGTGGAATTCCAGGGTTTGGTGCTTCCATCTTCAAGTCTTGGTATAACATGTATACTGTAATTGATACATATATTATCACTACTTATAGTAACCCCCCAAACAAGGATAGACCCATAATTTATTGTTTTAGAGTTGGGTTTAGAGAGGTTTCTGTCCTTTTGGGGCTATAACTATACTATATAATATATACATTTGGGGCTACAACTATACATATAACTATACATATAACTATACAGATAACTATACATATAACTATACAGATAACTATACATATAACTCTACATATAACTATACAGATAACTCTACATATAACTATACAGATACCTATACGGATAACTATACAGATAACTCTACAGATAACTATACAGATAACTATACATATAACTATACAGATAACTATACATATAACTATACAGATAACTATACAGATAACTATACAGATAACTCTACAGATAACTCTACAGATAACTATACATATAACTATACAGATAACTATACATATAACTATACAGATAACTATACAGATAACTATACAGATAACTCTACAGATAACTATACAGATAACTATACAGATAACTATACAGATAACTATACAGATAACTCTACATATAACTATACAGATAACTATACGGATAACTATACGGATAACTATACGGATAACTATACAGATAACTCTACAGATAACTATACAGATAACTATACATATAACTATACAGATAACTATACATATAAATATACAGACAACTATACAGATAACTATACAGATAACTCTACAGATAACTATACAGATAACTATACATATAACTATACAGATAACTATACATATAACTATACAGATAACTATACAGATAACTATACAGATAACTCTACAGATAACTATACAGATAACTATACAGATAACTATACAGATAACTATACAGATAACTCTACAGATAACTATACAGATAACTATACATATAACTATACAGATAACTATACATATAACTATACAGATAACTATGCATATAACTATACAGATAACTATACAGATAACTATACAGATAACTATACGGATAACTATACAGATAACTATACATATAACTATACAGATAACTATACAGATAACTATACAGATAACTCTACAGATAACTATACAGATAACTATACAGATAACTATACAGATAACTATACAGATAACTCTACAGATAACTATACAGATAACTATACATATAACTATACAGATAACTATACATATAACTATACAGATAACTATGCATATAACTATACAGATAACTATACAGATAACTATACAGATAACTATACGGATAACTATACAGATAACTATACATATAACTATACAGATAACTATACAGATAACTATACAGATAACTATACACATACTAATATATATATATAATATATTATGATAGCTTATCCTCATCCCCTGTCGGACCTCGGGACCTCGCTTCGCCATCAAGGCCGGCTCCGCCATCAAAGCCATCGATGCGGCCATGAGATTTGGCGGAAAAAAACTTGGTGAAATCCATGGGAAATCCATGGGAAATCACCAAAAAATGGTGAAATCCATGGGAAATCACCCAAAAATGGTGATTTTTTTTGAAATCTATGGAGTTTTTTGAAGTTTTTTTTTTTAAACGTCAGATGGCATGGGATGAGTTTTGCAGATAGCCCGCAAGAATTTTCAAGAGGAACACTATTTGGTCACAGCCATATTTCTTAGGGATCTATGTTAGTTTTAAGCGGTTGAGTGACGGGTTTATGATCACTCACAGTTGTTGCCCAGCCATTGATCCAACAGTCGATCGAAAAGTAGATAAGTCTACGCCTTCTAATCGTTTTCTTACCACCCAAAAAAATACATTAAAAATACAATAAGTGGCTGTTCTTATTTGAACATGAGAAAAAATAGACGCTTTTTGATAGTTTCAGGAACTTTCAGATATCCAGGTGTCAAAAAAGGGGCAATCTTTCTGCACCGTGGCCACTGAGGACGGCCAGACAATGGCACAAGGCAGAGATGTTGTTGGATCAGGCGATCCACGGCACGATGGTTGGGTGGGAATTGAACATGATTGAACTAGAGCAAAACAGGGGGATGGCTTGATTTTCGGTTGTGGGAATTATTTCATGCTTTTTCTCTTTCCTGATTATCATGATATTCATGATATAATTTGTTTCGCAATCATTTACAATTTACGAGATCCTACAACATCATCAAAACTCATCCCATAACATGAAACACAGTTTTTTCAAACACCATGCAGAAGCACCATAAACCGAACTCCTGCGCAGTGCACCGCGGCCCCTTGGTTTGCAGGTGTCCATGGGCGCCGATCAAAGCTTCGCATTGCCCTTCTACGAGAAGTTGGCCACGCACTACGGGCAGTCGCGCCAGTCGGGGCCTGGAAACTAATGGTGAGCCAGAGAGGAATTGATCATAATTGTACAATACATAGTTAACTTATGTTAACTTAGTTATTCCATATAGTCTATATAGTAGTATTATATAATTTCTAGAAATGGTGAATATGACTTCCCCCCAAACTAGTCCATTGATGTGGTGCCCGAGGTTTGACCAAGCTGAACGCGCCTTCATCAAATCCGGACGTCCGCAACGGGCGGTTTGGGAGCCCAAGGGACCCTGCTTCGACATGTTTCTGGGGGTCCATGGCCCTAGGGGATACGAGTACTGGACATCTAATGGGGATTTCTAATGGGGATTTAGGCAAGAATCATGGTGGTTTTTTAATTGTTTTTTATGGGGGATATGGGGATATTCATGGAATATGGATGGGATATTTCACATTAATTAGGCCTGTAACCAACACTATGGAAATATCTGGTTGAAGGTACAACTACCTCACGTCGCGACGTCACTGGCACCGGAATCATGGTTCAGCCAAATTTGTGCTGGAAAATTCTGTGGATTATGACATGCTATTGACATTATTGACTACGTTTATATAGTGTATGACTATGTTCTGAACACATAGATTTGCTATTCTATGGCTATATTATGACGACTAAAGGCACAAAAACCCACTGCGGATCACGCCCGGCGAATAGGTCCACACCAACCATGTGAGCCCCAAAGGATGATAGTTGGCAAATTGCAGATGTAGCCTCTGGTTATGACTAACATAGCCATGGTATAGATGGCCCTAATCGAAATAGATGGTTTACCTATTAAAAAAATGGTGGATCTTTCCATGGCTATGTGAAATAACCAGATGGTAGATTTATAAAGACCAATTTTTAGTAGCATGAAGTTCACTCAGCCTGCCAGCGTAATGGACCCTGCGAGCCAGCATAAACCATGTCTCGCAAAGGTCCAAATGTACGTGGATCACGCGCAGTGCGCCCACATCGCGGTGGCGACGTGCATGGGTTCAGGGTTTCAACTTGGTTCCATATGTATTTGAACTTGGGCTCCTCCCAAATTTCCATGGATTTTCATCATTCTTGTATATTATTGTCATGACAATGGCAGTTTGGTACACAAAAAAACCATTTACCCTCTGGTAAACTAACATATCTATGGAAAATCACCATTTTTGATGGATAAATCCACTATTTCTATGGCCATGTTCAATAGCTTTTTGTTAACGTTTACCAGAGGCTATGGACACAGCCAGTGACGTGGAACGAAAGAGGGGTCCGAATCTGGATGCGTTCCACGGTCAGGTGCAGTTTCAATGGCCTGGTGATGATATAACGACGAGTTTCCATCTTGTCGTCCGAACGGTTGCTGATATAACATGGTACAACTATATATAACTATTACAGCTAATTATAACAATGTAATATATATATATATGTTGATTAATATGGTTACACCATCACTCCTGATAGTTTCAGTGTTTCTTCACAGTGATTTTGATGACGTCAGTATATATAGCTATTTATAACTATATATGTTCAATCCCACAATCCTTGCACTGATGGTTGCACAGGGAATCAT